TTGGACTCGATGATTTTGGAGGTCTTTTCCAACCCAGTGATTCTGTGAATTCTCTGAATTATTGATTTGGGCTCCTCGTTTGGGAAGAACATTCCTATCAATGCCAGCAATGGGGTTGATCTGCCTTCGGGGCATGCCTGGCACCGGGCTCAGTCGGGACTGCAGGCACAGCCTGGCAGGGCAGCGGGAAGCTGCTGCAGGGGAGCCTCGGCTGCCTTCCCTGGCAGCGCTGCCTGACAAATCCCAGCGGGAACCTCAGCCTTGGAAAACCCTCTCCTTGTAAACACGGCCCTGACAAGTTCCCTGGCTGTGCTTCCCTGGGCTCCGCGGGGAGATCAGAGCCGGCAGGGAGGGAGGGATGAGCGTTCCCATGTCTGACATCCGTTCCTGACAGCGCCAACAAACAGCAATTTGCCCGGCTGCCCGTGCACAGGGAGCAGCTGCCAAAGCTCCTCCTCTCCAGGGGTTCCCCCCCCTGCATTTTGTTAATTTTTGGATGAGCTTTGCCTTATGGTCAGGTGAAGGTGACCCAAATCCCCTTTGGAATTGATGACTCTGGGATTTTTGCATTCTCCTGGTATTTTTGTAGGATTGGGATGTGGATAACACATGAAGAGGATGCCCTAAAGGCTGGGCTCACATCCCCTGTGCTGGGATATGCCTTGGCTTCCTTCTCTCTGCCCTTTGTTGGGAAAGGACATTAAATCCTTTCTGTCCCTTCTAGGAGTTCCCTCCTTGCCAAGGGTCAGCCCCCTGGAAGGGGATTCCTTTGGGATCCCTCAGACCCCTGTGGGCACCTGCTGGGATTTTCTTCCCATCTTTCCATTTTAAAATGGAATGTCCCACTGCCTCCTGCCTGGGAGGACAAAGGGACCATTGGGATGGACTGGGATGGAGACTGGGATAGAGACTGGGATGGAGACTGGGATGGACTGGAGATTGGGATAGAGCCCAGGATGGAGACTGGGATGGAGATTGGGATGGAACGGGGATGGAGCCCAGGATGGACACTGGGATGGAGCCTGGCATGGAGCCATCCCTCTATCCAGGTGCCATCAGGACAGGGCTCTCTTGGTGCAGTGGGAGAGCTCGGAGCCCTGGGAATGGATCCCTCTGGCAAAACCCAGGGAATAAAGTCTTTTCTCCTCCTAAACAGGATCTTTTCCCCATCCTCTCATGGATATTCTTGCACAAATTCATCGCAGTTTTTCAGCTCCATGTTCTCCTTCTCCTGGACCCATCTTGAAAATTGCTTTGTTTTCTTTTTTCCCCACTGTGCATGAATACCTCAGATGTGGCTTGCTGGGAAATGTCTCTCTGAGCCACAATTGTGAGAAATGACTGCACAGGATTCCAATTCCCTCTTTTTCCTTGATTTTACCTCCATCTGGCACCTCCTTCCTGCCTTACCAGCGTGCCCTCGCCTGCATCTCCGTTTGTATTTGGAAAAGTCATTCCCAGGCTTCCAATGAGTTCCTTTTCCCACCATTTTTCTCTGGATTGAAGGGCAGATTTCTCTGCAGGAATGGTGTTTCTGTGCATCCTGGTAGAAGTTGGAATGTCTCATTTTCCATTACTCTGGGCAGGCGTCTGGAATGCCAGTCCTGGCCCTGATGGATTCACAGGCAGCAGGATTTGTTTATCCAGGGCTTTCTTGGAGCCTTTGGTGGTGGTGGTGTCTGCTTTGTTCTGGAATCCGTTTGGGATACCCCTGCTCTGAGTTTTAACTTCCCAAAATGAACATTTTCCTTGGACTTCCCTTGGCTAAGGAGGGGCTTAGGAAGTCACTCCAAGGCAGTTCATGGATTGGACTCCATCCTCTCAAAGGCTTTTCCTAACCTAAACAATTCCATCAAATCCCATTCCACAGATTTAGAATTATTTCCCTTTATGCCCAAGCAGGGATTTTCCAAGGTACTGTCAAAAGCCCCGTGCTCCATCAGAGGGAACAAATTGGAATTTTTATAGACTACTCTCAGGGAACATGTCTGGAATTTTGTTTCTGGCCCTTTTTATTGGAAGTTAAAGCATTTCCAAGAGCCAGGAGGGCTTTTTCCCCCTCAGCCACACAAACTGAGCTTAAGTCATCCTGTTCTGCTCGTGTTCACTGCCTCCAGTGAATCCCAGCCCTTCCCAACAGCTCCACGTTTATCCTGATGATCTGATTATGAGTCCTTTCCTGTTGTCAGGGAGCCTGAAAACAAGAGAAGACTCTGGAAAAAACAATGTTGTGTTTTCCCAGATAATCACTCTCAGCAAAGGGGAGAGGGGGAGGGACATCCTCGGGAGGGGCTGAGGAACAGGAGAGGGGCAGGACACAGGGAATGGCTTCCAAGAGGGCAGGGATAGATGGGATACTGGGGAGGGATCCTGGAGGAATTCCTCCCTGGAGGTTGGGGAGGGGCTGGAATGGAATTCCCAGAGCAGCTGTGGCTGCCCCTGGATCCCGGGAAGTGCCCAAGGCCAGGCTGGAGCAGCCTGGGACAGTGGGAGGTGTCCCTGCCCATGGCACTGGGTGGTCCTTAAGGTCCAAATCCAAACCATTCCATGACTCCATTGATCCTGGAACACCACAGTCCCGTTTATTGGGAGTTGGAATGAATGCACATGGATTTCTGAACTTGGAAATATCTTTAAATGCCATTAGGAATAATTTCTTGTATCTTCTTTGGGAACACTGGGAATCCCTGTGGCTGGGAGGTTCCATGGTTGTCCTTTCCCAGTCCCCATGAGGTCTCTTTCCTGGGATTGTGATTCCAGCCCTGCTGCCCCTGTCAGGTTCCATCTTTTCCTTGGATAAACACATCCTAACAGGAGCTTTTACAAGGAATTTTTACAGTCATATAAAACTACCCCATCAAGTTGCCTGGATTTATTTGCCTGCAGACTCCAAAATCAATCCCTGGGCTGTTGTTCCCATTCCAGCCTTGTTGTTTCCCTCTGATTTTCTCCACTGCAGCTTTTTCTCTTTGCTGGATTTTAAACTCCTCTCATTAGGAATTTTTAACTTCTGCCTTCAGAGCCTATCTGGGAAAACCCATCCATGGGGCTGCTTCCAGAGGCTGAGCTTCTCTTTCCAGCCTGAGCTGTTTAATCAGTCAGGAAAGTATTAAAATGAGATTTTTTTTTATTTGGATATCAAATCCTTTTTAAAGGATGTATTGTTTTTCCCCTCACAAACACTTCCTATTTGAATTCAAATATTTTTTCCTTTCTCTCCCATCCCACCTGCTTCCCTGGCACTTGGATTAGTCAGGATATGTCAATATTTGAGGGAATAAGTCGCTGCTGGCTCCAGCTTCTGTTTGGGTTTCTGACTCATCTTGGGGTCAAATGAGCTCAGCAAACGTGGGAGAGATTCCGGAGGGACGGAAGCGGCTCCGCTCTGGTCCCGTGCTCCATTTGCTGGGGTTTACTGGTTCTTACTGGTTCCCAAAGTGGGCTTTCTGGAGCCTTTATCCCAGGAAGCAGTTCTGGATGCCCCCGGGCTGTCAGTGCAGGGCAGAGGGGGATTGGTTGGGGTTAAATCTGGAATTTCTGAGTGTTTTCCCATTCCAGGGGGATCCTGAGCTGAGCCCGGGCCCTGAGTGTCACCAGCAGCAAAGGTGTGACATCTCTGCTGCCACCAGGAGCCTTGGGTTCCCACTGGGAATTCCGTGTTACCCACTGGGAAATCTGTGTTTTATCCCACTGGGAAATCTGCATTATCCACTGGGGAATCTGTGTTTTAACCTGCTGGGAAATCTGTGTTACCCCACTGGGAAATCTGTGATATCCCACTAGGAAATCTGCATTATCCCACTGGGAAATCTGTGTTTTATCCCACTGGGAAATCTGCATTATCCTCTGGGAAATCTGTGTTTTATCCCACTGGGAAATCTGTGTTTTCCCACTGGGAAACCCATGTTTACTCTTCTTAGAAACACATGTCCACCCCATTTGGAAACCTGTGTTCTTCATATGTCCATCCCACTTGGAAAGCAGTGTCCCTCCCTCTTGGAAATCTATGTGCACTCCACATGGAAATGTGTCCATTCCTCCTGGAATCAATCCTGTGTCCATCCCACGTGGAAACCCATGTTTGCTCCCCTCAGAAACGCTGTGTGCCCCCCTGGAAAAGGACATGTTCCCTCCCTTGGAAACCCATGTGTCCTGCACCTGGAAGCCTGTGTCCTTCTCCCTGGAAAACCCCAGTTCTACCACTGGAAAACCCATTTTCTGCCACTGGAAAACCTGTGTTCTCCCACTGGGAAACCTGTGTTCTCCAGGTTTTCCAGTTTCCATCGCACTGGAAAACCCCTGTTCTCCCTCTGGAAAACCCGTGTTCCACACATTCCTCCTGGAGCCCCATGTCCACCCTGCACAGATGCCCCACTGCTTTACAGTGCTGGTGGTGCCTGCAAGTTCCACTGGGCTTTGCCAGGAATTTCTATCAGGAATCCTCCCCAAATAAGACTGAAGAAGAGCAAAATGATGGAGGAAATCTTTCCTCATTTCCCCAGGTGTTTTTAGCTCTTCCTATTTTCCAAGAAGTGGCAGAGGGAGGAATGAAGGGGGTATTGGATTTTTAATGCCAGGAGAGCTTTTCCAAGGCCTAAATGGGCTGAGACTCCATCCAAAACCAGGGAATTGTGTGAATTTTTAGCAGGAGCTTAAGGCCAGTGTGTGTCTGTCAGAGCTTGGACTGACTGGAACGACTCCAGGAGCTTTTGAGCTTTCCCTCCAAACAGCTTTTCCTTCCTCCCTTCCCTCTTTTAATTTCCATAAGGAAAGCACAATGATTAAACAAATTATTAAACCTGGATGGATTTCTGTGGATATTTAGGAGGCTATTTCTGAGGATATTTCTGTGGATATTGATGTGCGTATTTATGAGGATATTTATGTGGATATTTCCCCCTGACCTGCATCTTGTGGCTGTTTACCATCCTTCTGCCAGTTGGGAATGGGGATTAATTATGTGGGAAATATTCCCTAATTCCTCTCTTTTTTCCCCACAGGTGTTTACAAAATATGGGAAATGCTACATGTTTAACTCAGGAGAGGAGGGGCGGCCTCTCCTCACCACGGTGAAGGGGGGGACAGGGAACGGCCTGGAAATCATGCTGGACATCCAGCAGGACGAGTATCTGCCCATCTGGGGAGAAACCGGTAAGAGCTGCCTCTTCCTCAGGTGATTTTCTTGGAAAAACCATCCCACCCCATCCCACCCCATCCCATCCCATCCCATCCCATCCCATCCCATCCCATCCCATCCCATCCCATCCTTCCCAGACCATGCCTAAACCAGCTCTGGGAGCAAGATCCTGCTCAGTCCAGGATGTGTCACTTTTCTCCCTGGGGTTTGTGGTGGCCCCTTGGGAGCAGTATTTTGGGGAGTGCTGGGCCTGGGTGTCCCAGCCCCAAGGTTTGGGATGCCAGGCAGGAATGGCACTGCCTGTCCTGGGCAAGGGTGGCATTTATGGGTGACAGCAGTGTGGGGACACCTTCAGAGGCTCCAGCACATCCCTCTCCCCTGGAAAGGCATTTTTGGGAGGCTGTGTTCAAGGTGGACTCCAGCTGCTCTCTGGGTTTTCCTTCTCCTTCTAATTTGGAAATATTTGCTGCCCTGAGTTGTGTTTGGTGGGTTGGTGCTGTGTGGGTGTAGCAAGGACTGGGTTCCTTGGCTTTGGAGCATTAGGGGTGGATGGAATCTGTGTAGGAATGAACCTGGCTGGGCTGAGCATCTCCAGAGGAGCTGGAACTCTCTGGTCCTGGAGCAAGAGGTGCTGACCAGGAGAGCTGGGCTGTGGGGTGTCCCCAGGTCCCATGGATGGGGATGCAGCTCCTGGAGTGGATGTGGGGTTGTGGGGAGCACTGTAATGAAGTGATCCTTGAATGAACCTGCTGCAGAAATGATGGGCAAGAGCATAGGGGAGAGGATGGGGACAGTGCCACCAGAGCCACCCAGGCACAGCTGTCCTTAGCAGTGCCCAGCAGTGGTGGCTGCAGCTTTCTGGAACCCATGGTGACCTCTCAAACAAAGCATCCCAAAATGCTGCTGGAAAACTTGCCAGGAGCTGTTTGTGTGGCAGGGCCCCATGGGGACATTCGTCCAGGATGAATATCCTGTCCCTGGGTTGATTTTGGATTCTCCTGGACCTGAGTTGTGTTGGGTTCTGTTGTCCCTGGCTTGATTTTGGATTCTCCTATCCCTGGACCTGGGTTGATTTTGGATTCTCCTGTCTCTGGACCGGGGCTGACATTCTGGGCTTGGATTGCACTGGGAGTTATTGAGATCTCTTTAAACCTGGAATTGTACAGGATTCAAGGAAAAACTCCATGAACAGGGCTTTGATTTGCTGAAGGGATGAAGGAGAAGCTCCTGGGCTCATTCCCAGGAGCCTTGGCCATGTTCTCCCAGGCCCAGGTAGACCTGCTTGCCCTCAGAGCTGGTGGAACTTTGATCCCTTCATCAGGAGGCTGCTCCTGTCCCTCAGCAGCTGGGACAGCCTGTCCTGGATGCTCTGGGGCTCCCTGGACACCGGCAGAATCCCAAACGGGAGCTCTGGTGGTTGAGAGTGGCTGTTGCCACAGCAACGCCTCACTCCGCTCTGCCGAGGTGAGGGAGGGAGTTCATTATTTCCAAATATTTGCATAATAATTTCAGTGTGCTTGGAATTCAATCACATCGCTGCTGCCTCCAGACTGGGCTCTCCAAGGGAAGGAGCTCCAGAATTCCAGCCCTGGAGGGGGACCCAGGGTGGGAAATGGATTTGTAGAGAGCTCTCAGGGCCTGACAGAAGGCCCACACAGTGTGCATCCGTGTGCAAACACTGAAATAAGAAATACTAACTTAAAAATACCATAAAATAAAGCAAATATTACTAAGAAAAAAAATAAACTAAAAAAAAAGTTTTTAAAAAATAGCCTTACAAATAAGACTGAATACTTTAAAGAAATAGAACTGTGAAAGATACATTCTAATAAGACTCACGAAAATTTTAGATTATTAACTTTAAAACGTCTACAACATAATATAACAAAAAATGAATAAACAAAAAAAATACATATAGTATATTATAGTATACTATAGTATAGTACCTATATTATATATACTATATATATTATATATGCTATAATATATTATTATATTATATTATACATATAGTAAATTATAATTAAGCAACAATCAACTTCTAATTATAATAGTGTAAATTATAACATCTACATTATCTCACCCTTCTCATGAGACTAAAAATAGAATACAAATTTTTAAAACCCCTTTCAGTTACCCCATCTCTAACTCAAAATAAAAGTATTGCCCAACAACTGTGGTGTTCAGGGACAAAGGGATGTGGGCTGAGGGAGATCCACGGGATGGAAGGAGCTGGGTTTTCCCTTCCCACTGAGCTCCTGTCTCTGTTGTCACTGGGAGAGTGGCACAGGGAATTGTGGATCCCTGGCAGTGGCCAAGGCCAGGCTGTATTATTGTCACATTTTTTAATGAAGGGATGGGACTGCTTTTGTGCTAGGAACAATTTATTGCTCAGATAAACATGAGTCTCAGAGGCTGTGAGTATCTCAGTTTGGAAAGCCAGGTGTCTGTAAGGAAGGCAGGAGCCTCCCCTGAAATGGAAAATGCAAACCCCCTCCCTCCAAATTGTTATAAATTTTAAATTAAGGGGCTCTCAGGCAAAAATATGGGAGCAGGAATAACAGTTCTTTATTATGAAAGAAAATAAAAAGATAAAATAAACAATGCAGTAAACCAAACAAACACTGACAGAGTCAGAACACAGCCTGACACCCTGTGGGTCAGGGTGTTGGCAGCATCCCATTGGAATTGTGGCTGCAGCCCTCCTGCAGTGTCAGGGGTGGTTCTGCTGGAGCAAGGATCCTGGGGAAAGGTGGAGTCTTCCTCTGAAGGTCCAGGGGAAGAGGCAGCTGCTGTTCCTCTGGGAATGCAGTGGAAAGGATTCTGTTCTGCTGTCCCAGGATCTCAGATCATATCCAGGTAGGAATGCTTGGCTCCTCCCCTGGGCTCACATCTCCCACGGGATGATGGAATTTGATCAGCCATGCAGGGACACTCAGTGGCCAGGAACAGCAGAGATCTCCTGGAGGGAGGATTGGCTGTGGGAGTAATAAAGAAAACTGCCTGAAGAACAGCAGAGAGCTGCCCCACTCTGACAGGTGGGGATGGAGCACACATTGCCTTGCAGTCTGAGGTTGAGAGGAGCAGGCACTCAGCTCAGAGCAGTCACAAGTTCTTTGTTACAGAGCAATGCAGAGCTGTCTGTTCCAATGGACAGATACCACAAGGTTTATTTTGCTTTTCTGACCTGTCACCTTTAGTTACTTCTGCTGCACTGTGGATACTTTTACCCAGTGGTTTCTGTCTCACTTACACACAGATGCTTCTGTTACATCCCCTAAACTCTCAGCTACTCCACACAACCACAGCCCTACACTATAAACCCTTCACCATCTTGCCAATGCAGTTTCTCACTTAATTGAGGTATACCCTTTCTTACAACTACAGAAACGGAAGTTTATTGTGTTTCCACTTAATATCTGTGTATTGTATTTTTTACATCAATCCAAACTTCTCCCAAGGCTGCAGTTCAAACCCTCCTGTGTCTGTGGAAGTTTCTGTTTTTCCAATTCCCACGAGGCTGGAGCAGCCTGGGGCAGTGGAGGATGTCCCTGCCCAGGCTGGGGGGCACTGGAGGATGTTCAAGGTCCCTTCCAACCCCTAAAAATCTGGGATTCTCCAGCAGGAGGCAGGAGTAAGAGCAGTTTCGTTGTGTTTGCAGAAGTCCCCATGGCAGGCAGGAATGATGACTCTGACTCCATGTTCTTAGAAGGCTAATTTATTACTTTATGATACTATATTATATTAAAGAATACTGTACTATATCAAAGAACACAGAAAAGATACTTATTGAATGCTAAAAAGATAATAATAAAACTCGTGGCTCTTTCCAGAGTCCAGACACATCTTGGCCCTGATTGGCCAGAGTCAAAACAACTCACACCAAAACCAATGAAACAATCACCTGTGGGTACACAATCTCCAAACACATTCCACGTGAGCACAGCACAGGAGAAGCAAATGAGATAAGAATTGTTTTCCTTTTCTCAGAGGCTTCTCAGCTTCCCAGGAGAAATATCCTGGGTGAAGGGATTTTTTCAGAGAGTGTGAATGCCACACAGTTTCTCAGCTGTGTCAAGGGGCCTGGTTTCTGGGAAAGCAGGAGATGAAATTCCTGCAGCAAACAACCATCGGGATTCCTAATTTTTTTTTTTTTTTTCAAATTCTGGGTACTCAAGTGCCCAAACTGGATCCAGAGGATGCTCCGAGATGTGCTGAGTGCACCAGGATGGGCTGAAGATTCCTTAGAGCAGCTCCTGGCCAGGCCTCAGCTTCCAGCTCATCCTGGAGACCAGAGGGATTGATCGGCAAAGCATGGGAATGTTTTTCCATTACTTCCCTCACTGCCTGCTGAGGAAATCCCCTGTGGAAATTCCAGGCTCCTGCTCCATCCCAGCTGCCAAACCTGCTCCTGATGGCTGAAATATCCCTTCTTTTTGGCTCAGAAATCCCAAAGGGTCTAGAAATTAAATTCCCCCGTTAATCAAATCCAAACAATCTTTGGATTTTAAGGAAAATATCCCTCCAAGGAATTCCACTCATCCCACACCTCCAATCCCAGGGCCAATCCCAGCCTGGAGCAGCTCCTGTAAATCCCTGGGCACATGGGAGCAGCAGCTCCTGCTCCATCACGGCAGAGCCAAAATTGCTTTTCAAGCCCTGCCCTGCCTCTTCCCAGCTCCAGGAGAATTCCAGAGGCCCTGAGGAGCAATTCCCAAATCCAGGAGTTCCTGGGGTGTGTGACAACTCAAAGACCCAAACCCTGAGTAAGGTTTGAGCTGCTGCTCCTCCCAGGGCTTTGGTGCTGACAATCAAATATTAATTGATTTGTAGTGGCAGAATTATTTGAGGGCTGCTCTGGTCACCAGGGGCTGCTGAGAGGTGGCAAACGTGGGCCAGGGAATGCTGGCTGGTTCAGGGAATTCTGGTTGATTTAGGAATTCTGGCTAATTCATGGAATCTTGGCCAACTCAGGGAATCCTGGCTAATTCAGGAGCCCTGGCTAATTAATTCA